CAAGACCCTCAATTCCTTATTAGAAAAGGAATCCGCCAATGCTTCCTCTTCTGGAGTAAGAAACAACAACACCTTCCGAAAACAATCGATGTAGACTCGGTTGAACTCCAACCAGTTCATACCCAGAATAACATCCAAACCACCAAGTGGTAGACAAATCAGATCTTCCCCAAAATCTCTATCGAAAATAGTCAATGGACACTTCAAGCACACCAAAGAAGTAGTCACTGAACCAATAGAGGGAGTTTCGATAGTCATCCGCCGCTCAAGAGTGGACGACACCAAACCTAACCTCTTCACACACTCAACAAAAATGAACGAGTGAGTTGCACCTGTATCAATCATAGCAGTCAAAGGAACATTATTCATAAAACAAGTACCTTTGATAGCACACTCCTCATCTGCTGATTGAGTTGCTACCACAGCAAACACTTTACCACTGACCTGAGGCGCCTGAGTCCTCCTCGGCTTCTCACAATGAGTACTAATATGACATTTCTCACCGCAGTTATAGCAAGTAGGCATATTAGTTTTGCACTCCGCCATCACGTGAACCGACTTCCCACACTTGAAGCACTTCTTCATCTCATGAGGACAATCACTAACACGATGCCCCGCGGCACCGCACTGAAAACATTTCAAATTCATCGATGCTCTCCGCCCTCTGAACTTCTTATCAGCAACAGCCTTCTGTTTTCCCTTATCAGCCGGCACGCTGTAAGGAGTACCTCCAAACCTCTGCTTACCCTTACGATCATTCGCAGCCTTATAGTGTGCAATCCTTGCCTGGTTGTCATTATCATAAATTCGGCTTCTACTCACCAACTCAGGATAGCTCCTGATCTTTTGACAAGCTATCCCCATCTTGATCTCTGGACGCAATCCGTTCTCAAACTTCAAACACTTAGAAGTCATTGCCTCATCAGTATTGTAATGGGGACAATACTGAGCCAGCTCTTCAAATCTAGCAGCATAGTCTGCTACAGACAGGTTACCCTGCTTCAGTTCCAGAAACTCAATCTCCTTAGCACTTCTGATATCCTCCGGAAAATACCTCTCCAGAAAAATCGTCTGAACCACCTCCCAAGTAATGGCAGTTCCCGCAGCCTCCAATCTCTGGCGACTGTTGTCCCACCAAGCCTCAGCTTCACCCTCCAACATGTCGGTACCAAACTTCACTTTATGCTCATCACTGCAACCCATAGTCCTGAAAATCTTCTCAATCGCTTTCAGCCATTTATGTGCAGCTTCTGGATCCAAAATTCCTCTTTCAAACTTTGGTGGCTTATTACTCTGGAACTGCGTCAAATCTCTGAATTGCGCACCCGCAGCCAGATTCTGATTGGCCACCACCTGCGTCATAGCTTGCATAGCTGCAGCCAGAGCAACATCATTCCTTCCTGCCATACTGCTCAACCAAAATAACACTGGGTCAAAAGACACACAACCTCTATCCTAAGGACAGACTCAAAACACTACACTGGCCGGACGGACCGACCTGCTCTGATACCAACTTGTAACACCCCACTTCCCAAATTAAATAAAATGCAAATAAATCAATTAAATTATCAGAGTTTCTCTTCCAAAAGTGGGATATTACTTTTCACAAAAAATTTCACAAAACGTTTCATTAAAAGATTTTCAAAATAAGCAGCGGAAAAGAAATTTGTCACAACATATATTCATATATGTACATCATCTCATACATCATGTTCGGCCATCTGCCCAAAATATACAAAACATCATCAAAACATGATACGACACGGAGTATAAACAAAATCACCAGATAGGTAATAAACTCCCCAAAGCCCCGTGTTACGTATCAGAGCATCCTAGACTCGATCAGCACACCGCTATCCAACTAGCTAAACACCTGGATTATCTGTACTTCCGAAGAAGTACAGACCACAACAATAGCAAAGGGGTGAGAAAACATGATCGAAATATAACGGTAAATATTTACATGAAATAAAGGCAGTAAATAAATACATCATCACCTCACAAATCATCATACACAACCTACTGTCCAATCATCAATCACAACATACAATAATACACAAATGCAACTCAACACATGCATGTGGTACCGACTTAAACTCAGGATAGATCGCATACACTCCATCCGAGCAACGATCTATCCCTACCATGCTCCTCCTGAGCACATATAATCAAATCTCATGATAAATCGCATACACTCCATTCGAGTAACGATCTATCCCTACCACGATTACGGGTGAATCACATACACTCCATCCGAGCAACGATTCAACTCCACAGTCGCCAATGGACACTTGGCCATCAACCCTCCTCCAGGAGCAACACGATCCTAATGATCCCATCATGCATCATGCTATGCATACACCAACATCAAGCACAATAGGTGCACACGATCCTACTGATCCATCATCATACAACACACAATCATCAAACACATAAAGTGCACACGATCCTACTGATCCATCATCATACATCGCATATATATATATATATATATATATATATATATATATATATATATATATATATATATATATATATATATATATATATATATATATATATATATATATATATATATATATATATATATATATATATATATATATATATATATATATATATATATATATATATATATATATATATATATATATATATATATATATATATATATCACACAATCAATCAATCGAATTAATCACATTAGGCATCGGAAAAACAGCCCTATTACACTCAACATACACCCAGTATCCTTGCACTATCTCTGTACACCGAACAGATCACAATCATCAACATCAGATGAACACAGCTCAATTAAAACAAAATCCTGCCATGTTCGCTACCTTACTCGCTACGCGAGCTCCTAGCGAACACTCGCTACACGTTCGCCTAGCGAACCTGCTCGCGAGTCACACTTCTGAGCTACTAGAAGTGTTCGCTACCACCTCGCTGGGACTTCGCCTCGCGAATCCTTTGCTCCACCACTCGCCTAGCGAACCTGCTAGCGAGTACAGAAAAATGGCCACTAGAATGGCTCGCGACCTAGCTCGTCTAGAGAGCACCTAGCGAATGCTTGCTACTCACTCGCCTAGCGAGCACCTAGTGAATGCTTGCTACTCACTCGCCTAGCGAACCTGCTAGCGAGTGTCTGCGATTTCAGAAAAATCCCACTGTGCAGAATCTCAATATCATCTCAAAACTCAACAAATTCTCTCTAGATCAGTACCAACAACCTCAACTTAGCATTCTACATAAATTCTACCCAACTAATTCTAAAATCATCCGATAAAACATCAACTTCTGCTGATTAATCCACTTTCGGCTTAAAACCTTAATCTACTCCGAAATACCCAGTTCACCCAAACAATCATCAAACATTACATGCAATGATTCCACCATGACAACAAAAATCAGAAACTTACTCAACCACATGCAATCATCATCATGCAATTCATCATCATCAAAACCTATGGGGTTAAGGACTCCCCAACTACCCTTATTCATGCATTACCAAATTCCCATCTATTTTCTCCCCCCTTACCTCAATAAGCAGCTTGATCGATGATAATCCGCAAATTCCAACAGCTTGATCTTCTTCCTCCTCAAGCTTGCTTCCTTCACTCTTACTTCTCTTGATCGTGCTTCTACCGTGTCATCTTCTTCTCTCTTTTCCCAAATGTCACTTATGCCCGTAATACCCCAAAATCTCCTTTAATTCTAAATAATTCCCATAATAATAATCCTCACTTCTTTATTCCAAAATTATTATTTCCAATAATATTATTAAATATAATAATAACAATAATAATAGTAATAGTAACAACACTACTAATTATCATATTATTTTTATTATCAATTATATTATTTTAATATTATGGACCATAGTTTCTCCAACAATTCCCACACAAGCACGCCGAAAATAAAATAACACTGGAAAACTTAAATAATTAAAATGGGCGTTACAGTGTGCTAAATATGTAATTCATTATTTTAGAAAGACTAGATTTGATTTAAAAAGATCAAATTTGATTTAGAAAGATTATATTAGATATTTTTGGGTTTTTATAGTTTGGGCTCTGCCTTGGGGTGCAAGCTAACCTAAATCTGTAAATAGGGAGAAACCCTTATTTTGTAAACATCTCATCCCATCATATTTTGAGGTCAAGATTGGTCGAGTGAAATTATCCATAGGTTGTGGTTGAATTTCCAACAGTGACACCGTGAGTTGCGATTACGACGCTTCTTGGACTAGTGGTATCGGTGTTTATTTGATGCTGCTAAGTATGTTGTCGCCTCCAATACAATGGACCTAGTGAAGTGCCTTTATGGTTAACACTCCAACGCTCAAGTCAATTTAGAGTTCAAGATTGAAGGTAGTGAAAGTAAAATTTAAAGATTGCGTATTTGTGAATCTCTAACAAAGGTATTTATACCTTAGACCTGACGGAGCGGATTAGACAATAGGTCTCAAGTTATCTGACCTTTGATCGACGAAGAGTAATGAATATGAGTTTTTGATCGGCGTGTGGACCAAAGGGTCTTATATTTTAGCCAATACGGATCGAAATAATTGAAAACTCAATTGTTTTTTTCTTTATTAACCCTTCTTTGAAAAATCATTAAAATCAATTGAAATTTAATTAAAATAAATTGAAAGTAAACACAATCAGTAATTTAATGCAAGCGAACAATAACATGAATTGACAATAGTTTAATACATAAAACTTTAAAATATCTTCATTTAGTGCCCATTATTGACTATGGAAGAAACAAATCGTAATCTGTCTTCAACATTTTGTAATACCAGACAAAAGATCAAGATTAACTTAACCCAAAAAAACAAAAGACATTACGATAATCACGGGTAGATAGCGAATAACTGAACAACCTACTTCATTTCTCATTCAACTCAATTCAATTGTTTATATAATATTCCATGTTCTAGTTCTAATTCAACTTGCATATACATTTCCCCTTCCCAAACCAAAACCAGCACCACCATGACGGGCAACACGCCGCCACATATCCTGGTGATCCCATTCCCAGCTCAAGGCCACATGATACCCCTCCTCGATCTAACCCACAAACTCGCCACCACCAACAAAAACATCACCATAACCATTCTCACTACCCCAAAAAACCAAACATTCCTAACCCCTCTTCTCAACTCCCACCCGTCAACCATCCACCCTTTAATCCTCCCTTTCCCATCCACCCCTTCCATCCCCCATTCTGTCGAAAACGCCAAAGACTTACCTAACTCATTTATCACCTTCATCCTCTCTCTTTCAAATCTCCACCACCCTCTTCTCCAATGGTTCCACTCCCACCCTTCCCCTCCTCACTACATCATCTCCGATATGTTCTCCGGATGGACGCAACATCTCGCTTCTCAACTCAACATCCCTCGACTCGTTTTCTCTCCTTCCGGTGCTTTCGCTTTCTCCACCATCTGTTTTCTATGGAAGAATCTCCCAACTCTAGTAAACCCAATCCACGAAAACGAGCTTCTTTCTTATCATAACATTCCGAATTCCCCAAAATACCCTTGGTGGCAAGTTTCTCCTTTGTTTCGTAGCTATATCCCTGGCGACACTGATTCGGAGAAACTGAGGGATTTCTTTCTTTGTAACATTCAAAGCTGGGGACTTATTGTTAACACGTTTGATGAATTTGAAAAGCCGTATATTGATTATCTGAAAACCGAAATGGGTCATGATCGTGTGTGGGCGGTTGGACCATTACTCCCTATGGATGATTCATCTGCCATGGCCTTACAAAGAGGTGGGTCTAGCTCTGTTTCAGCAAACGACATCGTTTCATGGCTTGATCAACGACAAAACAGGAAAGTGGTGTACGTGTGTTTCGGTAGTCAAACTATTCTTACTAAGGATCAAACAGATGCTATTGCTTCTGCGTTGTCGAAAAGTGGGGTCCATTTTATATGGTCGATAAAAGATGCGAAGACAAAAAACGAGAATGAAGATGCTGTTGTTGGAAATGGAAGAGGTCTTGTGATTAGAGGGTGGGTCCCGCAGGTGTTGATACTGAGGCATAGGGCTGTGGGGGCGTTTTTGACTCATTGTGGATGGAACTCGGTGCTGGAATCGGTGGTGGCTGGGGTTCCGATGCTTGCGTGGCCAATGACTGCGGATCAATATGTGGATGCTACGTTGGTTGTGGATGAATTGAAAGTGGGTAAGAGAGTGTGTGAGGGTGGTGAAAGTGTTCCTGACTCGGATGAGTTGGGTCGAGTTTTGGCTGAGTCGGTTGGTGGGAGTGGGGAGGAAATTAGGGAGGCATTGAAATTGCAGCAAGCGGCGTTGGATGCTATTAGAGAAGGTGGAAGTTCTGATATGAATTTGCGATGTTTGATGGAACAACTTGTTAACGTTTAGCTATTGAGATTTATTTCATGCTATCAAGTGTAAAAGGTTATAATGACTAGAACTCAATAAATGACCAGAATAAGAGTAACAATTCCATCCTACCCTTGAAAACATACATCATTTCTTTATTATAAGAATTAAATTTGTTTTTAATCACCATAAAATTTGAAATTTAACATCTATGAAAAGTGATAGAATGTTGTGTTCTTACTTCTAAAAATTTTTCGATAGCACTTTTGATCTAGGTCATTACAAGAAAATGTTCATTTTGTCTTGTGATTTAGTGACGTGGTAAACACGTGGAAAAAAAAATTCGTTGCCGAGTCATTTCTACGTCACTAAATTATTTTAATAATAAATTATGTAGATCTAAAATCTGCAACGAAAAATTGGAATTTTAAGAGAGAGAGGGAAGTTTGAATTTTTAAAAAATTCAGTTGTGGCGTGTAAAACACATGAGAATTGAAAATTCAAAAAAGTCATTTTATTTTCCTAGTGAGTAACATGTCACTCACATGCCATTCACTTCGCAAAACTGCAAATAGTAAATCTCTCAGTCTTTTCATTACCTTTTCAGACACATTGGTTGTTGGAATTGAATGTGACAAATTTGTGAAGTGGTTCCCACGTCGCAACACACTGTCATAATTGTTCTTACCGTTGCGTTGTCATTGTGTGAGAGCAACTGATATATTTTAATTTATGGGGAAAGTTCTGACGTGGCCTGCACGTGGCAACGTTCCCACATGTATTTCACGTCGCAAATGGTGAATATGGTTGTTGGTTCCGACGTGGGAATCACGTGGGTACCTTCCCACGTGTTCACCACGTCGCAAGTGGGTCTATATATTAATTCATCATAATTTCCTTCAGCCACATATCTCGTTTCATCTTCTTTGCTTTATCCTTTCTTCCTTCTTCCCTCATTCTTCCATTACTGCCTCCCTCACACCTCCATTTTTAACGAAAATTTCACAAAAAATTTAAGGTGATTGATATGTATGTTGAGATTGTGAATGTTTTACCGTTTATTTTATGTTTATCTTATTATTAATTGTTGATTTTTTTTCCAGATCTAAGATTTAAGAAGTTCAATTGGAAGCTTTGAGAGTTAGCACAATGAGGTATTTATGCATTTCAATTTGTTTATTTTTGAGATTTTGGTGATATATAAAATATTATTTTAGAATATGATTCGAAAATTTTAGATTTTTTGTTGATATATTATTGTGTTGTGTTGTTGTTGATATATTATTATGTTGATATATTAGAAATTTTTAGATTTTAAAATATTGGGTTGTTGATATATTTTTAGATTTTTTGTTTATTGTGTTGTTGTTGTTGAAATAAAAAAATAAAAAAAATTTGTAGTAGAATATATATTTTTAGAATATATATATTTCGAATTAAAAACATAATATATATAAACATAATATTTATTAGAAACAAATTAAATATGTAATGTATTTTTAATTTTTAAAAATATAATATTTATTATGTTAGGAAAATTAGAATTTTTAAAAATAATTTTAGTAAACAATATTGTAAATAGAAAAAATTAAAAGATATTTTTTACAAAACATAAAGAATGTGTATTATATTTAAAATGTGTTATTTTTAAATGTATTATTTTTTGAAAAAATATTTTTATTAAAAAATAATAAATATGTATTATATATATTTTAAATGTGTTATTTTTAGTAAATCAATTATATATATTATAGAATATTATATTATTGAATAGTTATTATATTTAAGTAAACATAATATATATTATTTTAGAAAAACAAATTTTTAAACATAATGAATATATATTATATCTTAAATATGTTATTATTAATAAACAAATTATATAGTATATTTTAGAATATTATATTTTGAGAATATGTAGTATATTTTAGTAAAACATAATTTATATTATTTTGGTGAACATATTTTATTAGGTTGGTGTAGAAATAGAAAAAATAGATATAAATTACATATTTTATTAAAATGATATATAATGATAATACAAATGTGTAGTATGAAATATTTTCGTTACTATCGTAGTTGGATGTACGATAGAACATTACCAGGCAGACGTGGACTTACACCAAAATTTGAGGAAGGAGTTAAGGGGTTTATCACGTGGGCATTTGCACAAGAATGTTGTCGACGTAAAGGAGGAGTGAGATGTCCTTGTCTTAAATGTGAATGTAGATCTATAATTAGTGACCCAGAGGAAGTAGAACGTCATTTGAAGAGGAAGGGTTTCATTAAAAATTATTGGGTTTGGACATATAATGGGAGCAACTGCCGAGTAACGTATATGCAGATACAACTAATACACACACATCAAGCAGTCAATCACATATGGAATTTGATGAACAATTTAATCTGATCGATGAAATGGTTGGAAATGCATTTGGAGTAAATGTGACATAGGATGAACCTCAGGATTTTGATGGGGAAGAGTTGTCGAATGAGGAAGCACAAAGATTTTACCAATTGTTGAAAGAAATGAATACACCGTTGTTTGAGGGGTCAGCAGATTCAAAATTATCAATGTGTGTGAGATTATTGGCCGCAAAGTCAAATTGGAATGTTCCTGATCAGTGTTTGGAATACTTAGCAAAAATGATGTTGGATGCGACTCCTACGAAAGACAACTTGCCTACAAGTTATTATGATGCAAAAAGGTTGGTGTCGAAGTTGGGTTTAGAAGTACGAAAGGTTGATTGTTGCATAAATGGATGTATGTTGTTTTATGACAATGAGTTTGGTATTAATGATGAGGCGCTGGAGGAATGTAAGTTCTGTAAGAGTCTGAGATATCATGTTCGTAGTAAAGCCATTAACTGTAAACAAAAACGTGTAGTAGTGAAGTCCATGTTTTATTTGCCGATAATACCAATGTTAAAAATATTGTTTGCTTTAATGCATAATGCAAGTCAAATGACATGGCATCATACAAATTGAATTATTACATTCTAACTAATAATGTGTTTCTTTGTAGGGCATTTAACGCCTCCTATTTTCAAAGCACCGGTGAACAAGCAACTACCGGTCAAATACATGCATCTTTTCCAGCATGGTTCAAGGATCAATTGTCATGCATTATTGCACCGACTCAAGAAATACTTCATTTGCGTAACTTATCTAGAGGGCCTGTTCAAAGAGCAATTGAATGGCACACATACTTTGTGAACGGCTATAAATTTCACACACAGGCGTGGACAGAAGGGAAAAAACCATAAATAGTGATGTATTTGTTAAAGGAGTTATGAATGGTGGTAAAGACGACTTCTATGGCTTTGTTACGCATATTTACGAGTTGACATACAATTACTTGGACTCGAAAAATAGAATTGTCTTGTTTTATTGTGATTGGTATGATCCATCTTCCAGGGGCACAAAAATAGATAAGAAATATAACACTATTGATATTCGAATGAACAGAAGGTACAAAGAGTATGACCCTTTCATAATGTCACATATCGGTAAACAAGTTTATTATGTTCTGTACCCTTCAATTCAGTCACGTAAACGTGGATGGTGTGTTGTAATCAAAACAAAACCATTAGGTCATATTGAAACTGACGATCTAGTGGAAGATGCTGCATACCAAGACCATGAAATTTCTCAAATTAATGATGTGGTTGAAGTTGAAGAAATTACAAATTTGTGTGATACATTGGCCGAGGGTCATCAAATTGATGCATCTGTTTTGTTGGTAGATAATAATGTGGACGAAGATCATGAAGATATTGGATCTGAGGACATTATTGGATCAGATGATGAAAATAATATGGACGAAGAACATGAAGAGTTTGAATAGATAGTTTTTATATGTGTTCGGACAATTTTTATTAATGTATTATTTGTTTTATATGAATGCAAATGATTTTTACGTATGTATATTGTGTTGATAATAGTCTTGATTTATTTACGTATTATTTATTTATTGATAACTATTTCAAAATAGATACAATGCCACCCCGAACTGACAAGGGTAAGGCTAAGGAAACCCAGCCTCGTTCAAGAGCCAGAGTACGTGAGGTACCGCCCTCGCCCATGTATGTTTCTCGCCCATAGACTTAGGCAGATCTAATGTCCGTAGACACTTCACAGCCATTTACGACATTACTCTCCTCCTCCCAAACGGTTCCATCTAGGAATCCATTGTTTATTAGTCCGTTTGGGGGATCCTTCATGCATCCATCTACGTTTACGCAACAGTCTGGGGGATCTAGTTTTCCCCATGTACCATCTAGGTTTACGCAGCAGTCTGGGGGATCTAGTTTTCCTGGGGGAGCTAGTTTTCTTCCTCAACATTATTCCTTCACACAGCCAGGGGGATCTATTTTTCCTCAGCAATATTCCTTCACGCCGCAACCTTCAAGATCTAGTTTTCCTCAGTCGACTCCCTCCACGCACCAACCAGAGGGATCTGGCTCCCGCATTCCACACCCCACACATATACCTGCGCGTCAGCAGCAGGATGACCACACTTTTCAGGAGGATGACGATGTTCATGAGGAGCAGAGAAATCCTGTTGCAGAAGAGCTTTTGGTGGTTGAAGGACAACATCTGATTAGGCCTGTGGGATCTGGGTATGTTTTTAATTTATAATATTTATTTAGCTATATATTGCCATTTTATGTTTAATACTCGTTCAAATTATTGTTGTTTAGTTTTGATCCGTGTCGGCCTGCTGCAAAAGCTGTAAATTGGGTCATTCAAGTGATGTATACAAAACTCATTAAGTCTTTCGGAGAGCTCCCAGATACTGAGAAAGATATATGGGTTGATAAATTCAAGGTAAATTGTATTTTTATTATAGTTATGTTGTTATTGTATAACTATTTTTTGTTATATATATCTAACATTTTATTTTACTGTCATATAACTTGCAGGAAAGGTGTACTTGGCAAAAATTTGACGAGTTCAAAATTAAATTTTTTTCAGAAGTAAGGTATCTAGCATATTATCTGACATGCTCAGGAATGCTAGACAGCGTTGGGACAGAG